AAGGTCAAAGTTCAACTCCCAGTACTTGCAGTGCTGGAGTGCTCTAAGTCCAATAGAGCTATGGGAGAGAAATCTCCCATAGCTCTATACAGGATTTAGTATGGACGAGAGTTCTCGAAATCCCATAGAGTACTAAGAGTGCCTTCACAGTACTTTGAGGCAGATAGAGACTCTGTGTTTTCTTTGATCTCAATGTCAACCATGCTACAAATATAGTATAATATATGTGGTCAGTCTGTGCATGTAACATAACTAGAGATAATTAAGAAAACCACAATAGATTAATATAAGATGTATGCACAGCAATAGTAATAAGCACTAAATTATACATCTTCCACAATCCCTCTCAATTAATGTCTTGTTAAGTGCCTTTACACTCGTCATTTTCCTTAACATTTTGAACTGATTTCCATGTAGTTCTTTCGTCATCATGTCAACTATCATATTGTCGGTTTTGCAATACTAAACGTTCAATATACGATTCATCACTTGATCCCTGATGTAATGTTACTTTATGTCAATATGTTTTTTTTGACCATGACACTGAGGGTTTTTCAAGAGACAAATTGATGACTGATTGTCCTAAAAAAAGGGTCATTTGTGGTGACTCCCTCTCAATCTCAGATAACAGCTGACGAATCAAAACTGCTTCCTGAGCTGTTGAAGAAAGAGCCATATACTCCACCTCTGATGCAAAAAGAGTAACACTATTCTGTTTATAACTTCTACTAACAAGTGCTCCTCCAACTAGAAAACCATATCTGGAGGTTGATCTTCAATCATCAAGATCTCCACCCCAGTCTGAGTTAGAGTACCCTAGACATTTCAGTGATTCCTCTCTTGTATAGAGTAGGTCATTGATATCTGAAAATGTGCTTGACAAATTTTCAGTGCTGTTCAGTAGGATTTGAAGTGTACTTAGCGACATTGTTTTTGTCTGGTTCGAGTTGCTAGAAACTAAAGTTTTCCAACTGCTGATTGATATTTCTCAGGGTCAAATAGTGTAGACTCATCTGTAGCTGTACTGAGGCTAATACTCGGATTAACTGGTGATCTGACTGATTTAGAATCAGACATTGAAAATTGATGTAATATAGTCTCTGCATAAGATGTCTGACCTATCCACACCATTCCTTTATCTAGATCTTGTACTTTCACCTCTAGAAAGTATTCTACCGGTCCCATATCTTTGACATTGAACTGACTTCTTAACTGATCTTTAGATTCAGTTATTTGTTTAGTAGATTTTCCAGCTAATAGTATGTCATTCACATACATAGTCTGGGTTTGCCCCTTCTGCTGCGAGGGAAGGGTCTGGTGACACTGCTACAGAAAATTTGGCCTTCAGCAGCACTTTGAGCATTCTAATCAAATTGCTGCATGCACATGGCAGCTAATGAGTCACATGACAATAGTGTGACAGAGGCGTGTACCCATGCGAGAAAGACGGCTGCTGTTTCTAGGAATGTCATTGATTATGCTATTAAAGCTGGAACATCTTTAGGATACCAGGAGCTTAAGGAAGATCAAGCACGAGTTATAAGATCTTTTGTTGAGGGGAATGACGTTTTTGCTTGTTTACCAACTGGTTTTCGTAAGTCACTTTGTTACTTCAGCCTCCCTGTCCTCTGACTTGCTACATGAACACACTTCACCCACATCTGCTATAATAAAGATTAGCCCCCTACAAGCATTGATGATGGATCAAGTGGTTTCTCTAAAGAAGAAAGGAATCAAGGCAATTACAGTGATTGTTCTCAGTGATGATGATTAAGTGTCCAAAAAGGAATCTATTGTAACTGGCAATGTACAAGTTATACTTACGACAACAGAAGTTTTACGTACAGACAAGAACTGGATTGACATATTCCAAAGTCCCTCACTTTGTGAAAGATTGGTAACTGTAGGAATTGATGAGGTTTATATACTTAAGGAAATAACGGTAAATTATGTCAAATGTTATTTTATCAATATTTAAAAAATTTTTATAGGGGTAATAATTTCAGAAACGAATTTAGAAAGCTTGGTGACTATTGGAAATTTTTTTCCTACCAAATTAAGATCTAGGGCTTTTACAGCTACAGCATCTTTTTTGACTAGAAAATATGTCATAAAAGTATTGGGCATGCATAAACCATCTCATATTTTAAAGTGTCCCAATAAAAATAATATTGTGTACAATGTTAGGGATAAGTTTGAGTATATTGAAGAAGAAAGTGAATAACGATATTCAGTGGATGAAGTTATTCGGTTCCGTATCAGAAACTGTAAAGACTACTATCATCTGCAGGACTTACAATAATTGTAGTAGAGTATATCAACTTTTCAAGTCTAACTTAAAGAAGAAATTGACAGATCCTATAGGATATCCAAATGTGTCACAATTTTGACTAGTGGACATGTTCAATGCTACCAACTTCTGTCAAAGTAAGGAGTTATATTCTCAAGTCATTTTCATGTAGAGGTGGGACATTATGCATACTAATAGCCACTATTCTTTTTGGTGTGGGAATCAACTGTCCTGATATATGACGTATTATTCATTAGAGACCACCATGGGACTGTGAAAGTTACATCCAGGAAACTGGAAGAGCAGGTCATGATAATCATCTAGCAGATGCCATTTTGTATTACTCTCCCTGAGACTTGAGTCATATATACATGGACAGTAACATGGCTGATTATTGTAAATCAACATGCCACAGATAGGTCTTATTTGAAGGATATTACTAAAACGCTACTAATAAACCAGTAGACTGCAAATGCTGTGATTATGTGCTGTGATATGTGATTGTATTGACTGTAAATTTTGATTTTGAAATTAATTTTGTTGTAGATTGAAACATTAGAAAAATTACATGCATAATAATACATTTAATGTGAGTGAGTGACGGTAATTGTCATTGAGCTAGTTTCTTCAAAATCTACTTTAACCATTCTACAAGTACTTCCTTATCAACAGTGGACATAGCATTTCCTTGAAAATTTGGAAACTGACTATGTTTCGTTCCTGTGGTCTCTGTGAATACCTGTGTTTTGTTTAGTTTCCCAACCAACAACCACAGATCCTTACTCTTGTAGCGAGATGTGTGACGACCTGAAACCTTGGTAACATTGATACATTGTCTCTCATTAACATTTGATAACAGATGTCGTATGCCTTCTTTCAAATCCTGATTGAGGTGTTCCATATGGAGATCAATGGAAATGTTCATACCTGGTCTTCCATGAAAATTGATAGTTCTGCTATAAAGTAGCATCCTCTCTGTGAAAATTAAATTCTCCTGCAAAAGCAATGTAGATGCTTGTACTGCATACTTATTCTTCGTTGTCACTTAAAATATCAACACCATGTACCTCCAACACCTTAAGACCATCCCCCTCTGGAATGCTGTCACAAAATTCCATATATATGACAATCCCAGTGATAAAAACTCCTTCGCATATGCCATGATGTAATCTCCTTTCTTTCTTGTTTTCAACTTCTTTGTGGTGGCATTAGACTCCAAATTTACTTGGAACAAAAATGTATCACAGTGAATGATTTGTGAAATCGCTTCTGTAAATATTTCTTGTGATAGGTAAATTTTCCTTGCTGAAAATACAATGAGTTGGAGCATCATTTATAGAAGTGAGTCCAAATTCCTTCATTGCTAGACAAATTATATGAGCCTCAACAACCAGAAGAAAAACTTGTCACAAGCCATGGGGTCCAATTTTATGTTATGAGTTACAGTACATCTCTTGATGAGATTTTGGGCTTGTACAGAGTTAAACCGTTTCATATGAAACAAGTCTTGTATAGATATTTTCAAATTGCCTAGAAAATACATCAATAAAATTCTAGTTTATTAAAATTAATAAAATTAGACCATAATTGACAAAAGGGACGTTGTGACGCATTATTAAATTTATCAGCAGAGTGGTAATAAGTCAACTCGCGTGTTGTTGGTCAAAAAATAACTCCTAGTGATTATAGAGACCATAAGCTATCATTTGATGCCAAAGTACACAAAACCATAAAAACAAATAATAGTGGGCAGCAAACACACTCCACAAGTACAGAACCCACAAAACCATAAAAACCCAAATACCAGTGAGTACCAAACACATTCCACAAATACAAAACCAACAAAGCCATATAAAATGAAATACCAGTGGGTACCAACAGGAGCCCATGAAAGGGAGGGTTGCAAAACTCCCACGCATTTAATTATTTCCTTTGTGCATGTTTCTTCATATTTTAATGATTTTACTATTATTAGCCAAGTCAAGCCACGCCTTATTAAAATGGCCAACACTTAGTGTTCAAAAGAGGAAGCAAAATTTGCCCTAAGAAGAAGCTGTGTACCCAGCACTTACCTGTAATAGATCATATGGAAAGTCTTCTCAGAGAGAACCATTCTTCTCTTGATGTCAGCATAGAGACTGTAGAACCTGTCTTAATCAATTAAATCATATCCTAACCATAGCTAGAAAAGTCAAAGTTTACTTTCAGTCAACAAGGCCACTAGATTCTGTGAAAATGGTTATTGACATGAAGCTCTGCTATTATTTTTAATTTTTTTGTGAATTACTAATATGAAATCACTTGTCAGGTCCCAATGACATCACTTCTTTACCCCTTTTACAAAAGATTAAAAATGAATCAGAGTGGACAGTTTGTCATGGTGTTTCTAGTTACTTCAGTTACAATTAATATCGCAAGAAAGATGCCGTGCAGATAATGCTTCCTCATGATTCTGGAAGACATGCTGACTGCACTAGATTTTTCAAATCAACTTCAAAGAAGTCTGTTGTGCGCCATTCATGTCAGTCATTAAAGTATTATCTCGCATTTTGTAAAAGAACTTATGATGCATTATCAGAAGAAGACCACTCCTAACACCACAGTTCAAGTTCAACTGTACCAACAGACTCTTATAGTCTGGTTAGTAGAACAACGCATGTACACAACATGATAAAAACAATTAGCCAACTTCAACGCAAACTTCACTCTATCAATAAAGTTACTGTTGAACTAAGGGATGAGCAAAATTATGAAATGATGCTGTTAGTTAAAGGTATTACTGAATCTGAAGATGGTCATACAGAACTTAAAAAAATTTATGAAGAAGCAGATACAATGTTTGGTAATGGAAGGGGTGCTACCTTAAAGCATATATGGGAAATTGTTGTAGAAATGTTTTATAGCGATCAAAGTAGATGTGGTACGTTTTGTACATTTACCAGAGTGTTTATATTTATTTAATTTATAGCAGTAGATGGTCAATTGCAACTATACGTTTAGGTTAGTACAATTATTTTGTATTTTTATCTAAGAACATTTATATCTTTAGCTCTTTTTTCCAGAAGTCCATTTCATGCTCTTAATGGGCTAGGAATTTTGAAGTTACCTTGTGCTAAAGCTATCAGAGGGTACATGCATCAGCATTCAAGTTCTCATGCCATTCATGATCACCTTATACAAAAAAGCTCAAGCAAATATGAGGAGCACATTGCAAAAGTAGTGAAAAAAGGCCATGCACAACCACTAAAGGAAGGGATTCTAATATGGGATGAAACAAAGGTACTTATTTATATAAGTTCGAAGCAAGTAAAATAGTAAATTTTATGTAGGTTCAAATCAAAATTGTATGGAATAGATCAAATTTCTCTATTACAGGATATGCTTTGTCCACCTATGATATGATGTCGTTACATGATGTTTACGAAGGAATTAATGAAGAAGACTCTCAGAAGGCAGTGTATGTTCTTTGGTTTCCTTGGAGAGATATATCTTTCAATGTTGAAGTCACAGGTCCTTATTTTACTCTTGATGGAACTGTAGAATCACAACATCTGCATACTAATGTACAATGTTGGTTTTTTAATCATTTTGGATTTAAGGTCAGAACTTTTCTGTGTAATGGGGCAAGCAGTAATTTAGCATAGCTAAAATCTTTGTGTAATCACAACAAAGTGTGATATTTTACCTTGCTTCACGTCATCATTTTTTTCAAAAATACACCTTATCTTTTGCCCGTCTCATCAAGTAAGCCATAATATTACTTTCCATTGAATTGTAATATTTTGTAGCTAAAAAATACGATTGCTGCGTTATACAGTTCGCGAGATAATGGTGGTACAAAAGATTTTGTCAACAGTGAAAGTATCCACTTTGAATGGCAGACAATAGAAAAAGTATACAGGATGGACATGAAAAGAGTAAGACTAGAAAGGTTCCTTAACTAAAATATTCATATATTGTGAGAGATTCATGGACACGACTCAGTGTA